AAAAAAAGTTTCACAGACTTTCCTGCCTGGGCTGACTTCAGACCTTGATCCTCAGATCTCAGCCTCCTGAATCGCTCAGATTACAGGTCTGAGCCACCGGCACGCAGCCTAACTCTGGTTTATAAAGAATAGACCGGGAAAGGGGGAAAGAATCCAATGAAAGTTCGCTGTTAACGTAAACACGCTTCTTTGCTTCAAATCCTAGATTGTTTTGTGGACGTGGTGGTGGGGTTTGACATCTCCACGCAGCAGCCGGGGCAGAATTTGCTGGACAGTCAGCCCTGGATGACATCGTACCTTCCAGAAGTCTTACGTGCCATCAGCTCCCTCAATGGGGTAAGCTGTGAGGTGGGTACTGAGACGCAGGTCAGCGTGGCTTTCCAGGTCACAAATGCCGTGGAAAAATACTCCCCCAAGTTCGAGATCTACAGTGAGAACATTCTTCACAGCCTGAGGGGCGTGGCCCTGCGTGGGCCTGCGCTTCTCAACACGCACTTCTTGACTTCGCTCTGGGATGCCTTCCAGAACAAGTCAGCCGCCAGAGGCAAGGTAACCGTGATTTTATTTTTCCTTACAGATCTGCAGTTGCCCAAAAACAAAACAAAACTCTACTTTGAAAAACATATATATTTTTCTTTTTGGAACGTGTGCAGGTGGCCCTCTTATTTTCAGATGGCGTGGATGATGATATTGAAAAGCTTGAACAAAAATCCGATGAACTGAGAAAAGCAGGTACTGGATGAGAGGGAAGGGTAGAAAAGAAGGTGCGTGCATGTGCGTGTGTGTGCGTGTGTGTGTGTGTGCTGATACTGGAGCTTGAACTTTGGGCCCCATGCCCTCAGCTGGCTTTCTTGCCAAGTGGGAGTTCTACCACTTGAACCACGCCTCCAGGGAAGCCTTTTGCGGGCATATTGAAGATAAGAGTCTTCAAAGACCCTTTACTCCCTGGCCTTGCTTCAAACCGCCATCTCTCAGATTTCCTGAGTAGCCAGGATTGCAGGTGTGAATTACCAGTATCCTGTTTAAAATCCTTGGAATCTGAGAATGTGTCTGCTCTACATATGCTCAGTAAGGAGAAGGGCTCAGAGGAACATTCTGTTACCAGCTTTTCTTTTCTTCTCTTTTTGATTGGTCACGAGGCTTGAACTCTAGGCCTGGGCGCTGTCCCTCAGCTCTTCAGCTCAAGGTTGGCACTCTACCACTTGAGCCACAGCGCCACTTCTGGCCTTCTCTGTTTACGTGGTGCTGAGGAATTAAACCCAGGGCTTCATACATAAAGGGCAAGCACTCTACCGCCGAGCCACCTTCCCAGCCCCTGATACCGGCTTTTCTGCTCATGTTCTGTGTGTGTAGAACAACAATTCCTGAGTGCCAAGTCCTGTCCTGTATTTCCTCTTCTGAGTCTTTTCCTCTTCCTTTACCCCAGCTGATGTAACATTGCTATTTCTGCTGAGCTGACAGTATTTCTCCTTCACTGAAGAATGTAGGAGTCACATTATTTTCTTCTAACATTAGAAATGTGGCTGGAAAGTTGTTTCATGTTTCTAAAGCTTTTCTATCCATTCCTTCAGACCTCCAGATGGACCAACCGTGGTGTTTATGACCTCGTTAAAAAAAACAAACAAACAACCTGGCTTTTTCTATTCTAAACCCAATGGTCAGTCTGACTTACTGTCTCTTCTTAAACCCAATGGTCAGTCTGACTTACTGTCTCTTCTTAATAAAACAAGGATGGATGGAGACTCCCTGCAGCCATGTGTTCTGGTTTCAATACGAATAGCAATCTGGAAGCCGGGTGCCTGTCATCCTAGCTACTCAGGAGGCTGAGATCTGAGGATGGGGATTTGAGGCCACCATAAGCAAGGGAAGTTTATGAGATTCTTATTTCCAATCAGCCACCAAAAAGCTGGCTGTAGAGGGTATGCTCTAAGTGGTAGAGCACCCAGCTCTACCACTTAAAAAAATAAAAAGCTCTGGGACAGCACCCAGGCTCAAGTTCAAGTCCAAGTAACAGTCCAGAACCCCAAACCAAACCAAAACTACAGGTATTCCCCCACTTCGTGGCAAAAATATAAGCCTTCTTTTTTCTTTTTCTTCCTCCTCCTCTCGCCTTCCTCCTCTTTCCTTTTTCCTCTTTCTCCACCTTCACTCTCTGACTTCAGATCAAAAGCTCTGTGCCAGTGTTGTTCCCAGGCTCCAACTTGATTCCTTTAGGATGGTTGCATTCGCTGTACATGGTGAAGCTGGGTGAGGGGAGAGGGTGGATGGGATTCTCTCAAGGCCACTGGTTCCTGAGATGGGTGATTTCAATATGCAAATAAAGACCCACGTGGCCACGCCCACCTCACCCGGACAATTGTTGCACAGGCCTGAATGCCTTTCTGACTGTGGCCCTGGACAGAGCTGGCCATCCCAGCGACGACCTGGCTGATCTTCTCTACATTGAATTCGGGAAAGGACTTGATTACAGGACTCAGTTCACCATGGGCATGAGGGATCTCGGGAGTCAGCTGGCAAAGCAGTTGGTGAGTTATTCACAAAGAGCTGATGGGGGGTAGGGGGGACTGGGAAGGTGGCTTAGTGGTAGAGGGCTTGCCTAGCATGCTTGAAGCCCTGGGTTCGATTCCTCTGTCCCACGTACACAGGAAAAGCCTGGAAGTGGCAGAGTGTTAGCCTGGAGTAAAATAGAAGCTCAGAGACAGTGTCCAGGCCCTGAGTTCAAGCCCCAGGACTGGCAAAAAAAAAAAAAAAAAAGCTGATAAGTTTACATTTTCAGTTGTCTTGTCTGTTGACTTCCTGTTTGTGGGTTTGAATTGAAACTCACCCCAATCTCTTGGGAGCCAAGAAAGTCTTCTTCTCTGAATTAACCAGCTGCCTAAAGAACAAGTTGTTTGAAAGAAATACTCTATGATAGAGAGAAATCAATGCATATTAAAAATACAAGCCTGTCATTCTAACCACTCCATGAGGCTGAGATCTGAGGATCAAAGCTCAAAGCCAGCCAGGGCAGGAAAGTCCAGCGAGAGTCTTTAGCTTTACTTCACCAGCAACAAAACAATAACAACAACAACAACAACAACAAAGCGGGCTGGGTACTGGTGGCTCATGCCTGTCATCCTAGCTACTCAGGAGGCTGAGATCTGAGAATCATGGTTCCAAGCCAGCCTGGGCAGGAAAGGCTGTGAGACATTCATCTCCAATAAACCACTCAGAAAACTGGAAGTGGCGCTGTGGCTCAAGTGGTAGAGCGCTTGCCTTGAGCTGAAGAGCTGAGGGACAGCGCCTAGGCCCAGAGTTCAAGCCCCACGACCGACCAAACCAAATCAAAACTGGAAATGGAGCAGGGGCTCGGAGGTAGAACCTTGAACAAAATAGCTAAAGGACGCCATCTAGGCTTTGAGTTCAAACTCCGGGCACCATTTTTAAAAAAATTGACATTATTTTTGGGAATTGTTCAAGGGGAGGAGAATATAGGACTTCCCCCACCCCCAAAAGGTGGGGACACCCCCTCAGAACATAATCCCTGAAGTGGTGACCAGGCCTCTTAATCTGCAGTAGAAACCCGTGTGGCACTATGAGCGAGCATGCTAGTGTGCATGTACACGCGTGTGTTGTATTTAGGAAGCAATATTACAAGTGCCGTCTGTTTCCTCCACTCTTCAGATCAATGTGGCAGAAAGGACCTGTTGCTGTTTGTTCTGCAAGTGTCTGGGTGAAGATGGCACCATGGGCCCCCCTGGGACACCTGGGAAAAAGGTGCTTTGCATGTTAGATCGCCCCTCCCTTGATTTGGATGGTGGAATGCCTCTCAGACTGGGTTTTAGGAGGAAACAACGAATCTCTGTGCATCACGAAGAGCCTGAGACTTGGAATGACACAGACCCACATTCGAATCTGACTCCCTCATTCCCTGATACACCTGTTCAACCGAGTTGAGTAGAAAGGATCATTTCTGCTGGGCCCCGGTGGCTTAGGTCTGTTACCCTAGCTACTCACGAGGCTGAGATCTGAGGATCACACCCAGTTCAAAGCCAGCCCAGGCAGGAAAGTCCTTGAGACTCTTATCTCTAATGAACCACCAGAAAACCAGAAGTAGTGCCCTGGCTCAAGTGGTAGAGCGCTCACCTTGAGCTGAAGAGCTCAGAGACAGCGCCCAGGCCCAGAGTTCAAGCCCCAGGACCAACAAAAAAGTAAAGAATTGTGTGTGTGCTCTGTTTTCCTATGTATAGCATAAATCCTTATTTTAAAAAATTGATTTTTTTTTCTTAAAAAGGAAATTCTGTCAGGGGTGAGGATAGTTTTGTTGGTTGGAATGCTTGTCTAGAAAGGAACTTGAGCGCTGTATTCTGCCCCTGTGAATTATCCAGCTACTTATCTGGACAGTTCATTTCTTTTTATGAGTATAACTGAAGCCTGTTTTCTCGCACCTTGGCAATTTAAGACGTGCTTGGATAGTTTCTAAAACAGAAAATGTTCACGTTTTCCTTTTTTTTCTCTTTTTCAGGGAAGCCCAGGTTTCAAAGGCAGTGAAGGCTACTTGGGAGAAGAGGGCATTGCTGTAGGTCCAGTCTGTCCGTCCTTCCTTCCTTCCTTCCTTCCTTCCTTCCTTCCTTCCTTCCTTCCTTCCTTTCTTCCTCCTCTCCTTCCTTCCCTTCCTTTCTTTTTTATTTTCTGAATTGCATGTCTATAATATAAAATCTCACAGGTTGGGTGTGATTGAAGCTCTTTTAGAAATCTCAAGGTTGGGGGGTAGGAAGGTGGCTCAGTGGTAGAGCAGTCCCCTAGCATGCACGAAGCCCTGAGTTCGATTCCTCAGTACCACAGACACAGAAAAAGCCGGAAGTGGCGCTGTGGCTCAAGGGGTAGAGCCTTAGCCTTGGGCCAAAGAAGCTCAGGGTCAGCGCCCAGGACTGGCAAAGAAACAGCAACAGCAAAAGAAATCTCAAGGTTTTCTTAAACTCTCCCTGTGCTTGGTCTCCGGCACTCAGCAGCCGTCTCTGCGTTTTACCTTTCCCTCCATCATTCCCCACTGAACTCGATGCCAAGTGACCTTTTTCTCTGGAGAGTCAGAGCTCTGCCATCTTTCCCTTGTCCCTGCTCCATTCTGCCGAGGCAAATCAGGAGCCTGAGATCTGAGGATGTCCAGGTGGCAAGCTAGCTGGGGGCAGACCCATGCCAGGGACTTCCTTTATCTCACAATGATCCAGCCAAAAAAAAAAAGAAAAAAGAAGAAGCTGGACGTGGAGGTGTGCTGGAGCAGTAGAGTGCCACAGTCCTGGGTG